ATTGGAAGTACCTTTGCACCACTTTGCAGATCAAACCACTACGTTCATTGGACATCAGATCCCGTCCATCTTTGACCTGCTCTTCGCAAAGTCAGGCGACTTTGTTACGGGATCTTGTTTATGGTCCCCTAGTAGCCAGTGACCATGTTTGTCTGTCATGCAGTGGTGCATTTATTAGGCACTGTAAATGGCTCAGCACCGAAAGTCACAATATCTGGCGTTTTTGAACGAACTAGCAAGTGAATTTTCTAGACCCATCACTTGTCCGTTTGCAATGTCGCTTTAGAGTAGTATTCTACCTAACGACTGAAAGCAGGCTGTTGTCTGTTTCGTCGTTAAAAAGAGCGACAAGCATTTACCTACGTTAAGATAATCATGCACCGTTTGTGCATACTGAGCAGATGCGCCATCATGTTGCCATCAAATGGTGCTGTAAACACCATCAGCCTGCAGTTGCGGAATTACGCAGATCTGTAGCATTTCCTTGTAAGACGATGCTAGGAAAGGTATGACAGTAGTACAGTAAGAAAGTAACTTACCGGTCACATTACTGGAAAAGAAAAATGGTCCAACAATTTTTTGACCAGTTAGTCCAGCCCAAACCATTACCTTGGGATTACGTTGCATACGGGAAACTACGCAGCGTCATGGACTTGATGCGGCCCAACAGTGATGCTTATGTATTCCGTGCAAGTGGAATATTGCCTCATCGGTGAAAATAATGGAGTGAATATCTACGGGATTCAAGAACCAACTGCAAAATGCAAGCCGATTCTCCGGATCATATGAGTTCAACATTTACACTTGACGTGCACCATACCAACGAAATTTTCCTTCCTTCAAAATCCGCTGCATTGCGTAAGGGGTGGTGGCACAATTCTGAGTAATTGTAGGAAAGCTGAGGTCCGCCCTTTCCGTCACTTCGCGTATAACATCGCTAGCTGAACTCTCATCCGTTGTGGTGTAAGGCCGCCCCGTAATTCGGGCGTTGCACCCACTACCAGTGTTCTCGAACTTCTTCACCAGTTTTAACACATGCAGTCCGTTGACAGGCCGTATTCCCGAAGTTATGCTACTGTACCTTCTCGCTATCTCGGCTGCATTAAGCCCGCACTCCCAATCGAATCGAAGAATCACCACGCGCTGATCATCAGCGACTTCACGTAACTGAGGTTGCATAACATGCACTAAAGTGACTGTATCCTTGTGTTCCATCGCTGAAAAAGTAATCCAATAACAAAGGAAGCTTACCGTGTGCCTAAAGTTATCTGGCAAATCTAACGAATGTCCGGACTGCAATTTTTCGCCTGTCTGTCCACAACTATGAATGCCATCATTGACCTATGGGCTATCAGTTATCAGCGCAGAGAGAAATTCCTGCCCGAGGTAGGCAAGTTTACGGTTAAACACACCGCTCCGATTGGATAGCCTGACAACGAATGCAAATTATCTGTCCCTAGTAGAGATGCGTGTAGTGATGAATTGGATTGGACTCATACAGCAATCCATCCCGCTTTTCAAATCGTACGGTAGTGTAATGTACAAAAGTGAAGATGTATTTCACTTCGTTGCCTCTCATCGTCCGGCGTACTAGGACTAGCCGAAACTTTGTTAAATCTTGAGGCCACTATCCAGGAAGTCCAGATCAGTGGCTACTCGTGTTCGCGGTGCGACAGACTATCAAACAATCGAGGCGGCGTGCGGTTATACATTCGGTCCGCGCTGTGCGACAGAGTGATACACACCTACCGTAGCGAAGATGGCTTGTGCGAACAGTTATGGCGCTCGATCCGCCTGAGACAGGGTGAACTGTGTGTGGGTGCGGCTTACCGCATTATCATCATCACCATCATCATCATAATCATCAACAGCAGTACATCAGCCATTTGAACTGATGCTTCGCTGCCATACAACCATGAGTAGCTATGAAATAAAGAATAAGAAGAGGGAGAGAAGGGGAACTTACCTGAAAACCTTGATGCCCTAAGCAAACATTCAGAGTCAAGGCGTCTACACCTTGTGTGGACAACATACGGTCACAAACAACTGGCTATCGTTCAAAAAAGGTGCCATCGGCGAGACAGCTTCCTTGCGGCTTTCACTGCCCCGCGTCATAATCAGCCATTATTCCGCTTATCGCAGCCCGCAAAGTCGATGCCTGGATTGGATGCCACATGCTAAAAGCTAGATGAGTCGACCGGTTGTCGTGGTCTGCGCGCATAGTTTGCAACCACAAGGTAACCGGTTCGAATCCGCGTAAAGGGTGGGCGCCCTCGCAGTATACTCAGTCCGCGCGCGACTGGTGGTGGTCGCGCGGCAGCTAAGCGCCGTTAAGGCGTACAGCTGACACATTACATGAGTTGGCCGCGCTTCCTGCTTATGGGTGATTGTAACCTTTTTCGAATACGGTGGCTTGAGGTTCAACTTCTCCTTGGGCACTGTGAAATCGAGGAGCAGTTTGCGGAGATGGTATTTGAAAATGGGGAAAAAGATGTCTGCCAACCGATGCGCGTGACACCACATTCCGCTCCAGCAAGCCTGGTCGTACTACTAACGAGTTGCGAACAACGTGCACATGAAATCCAGGTCCAGGAGCCTCTGGCAGTTAGTGACCACTCGATGGTGTTAGCCAACATAGAGCTGCGGCTGCCCTAGTCGCGTCCGCCGGAGCCGTCATACAATTATTAGAAGACTGACTTCAATGGTCACAACTGAGCTACCAATGAAGTGGACTGGTCGCTGCAGCAGGATCGATCTGTTGAAGCCTGCTGGTCTGTTATAAGAAGGTGTACTATCGTTGTGCGCCCGTTTCGTACCCCTCAATTATTGGAAAGTTGGACCAGTGAAAGTACATTAGTTCGACAGAGAGTATGGCCAATTGGCTCGACGGCGAAGCGTATTATGGAATAAATCCGTCGTGTCTCTCTAACGACGATTATGTGGTGTACAAAAGCCAACAATCTATGCAATGGCGCAAAAGTATCGGCAGTTCGAAGAGGAGCTCGCAACTTCAGCGAAGACGGTCCCCAAGGAGGTTTTCGCTTACATGAAGCGGCGCCTGAGGCCCGCAAGTGACGTAGCTGTGTTAGAGGGCACTGACGGACAGCCTCTGATCTCCAGTACTGAACGTGCGTCCGCAATGGCGGAGCATTTCGCTTCCGTATTTACAAGTGGGCATGTGTCTATGCCGAGTTCGACATGTGCAACCCCTGCTGAACTCGAGGACCTTGACTGCGATGTAGATGTCCGCACTCTACTCGACATTCTTGACGGCACGAAACCTACCGGACCCGATGGACTTCACCCGCCAATTCTGAAGTCCTTATCGGCCATGATCTCGCCTGTCGTGACGGATATGTTCAACAGATCGCTGTCCAAAGGTACGATGCCGAGAGACTGGAAATGCTCGGTAGTGAAGCCGATTCCAAAAGGCGGTGACTCATGCAATGTGGACAAATACCGGCCGATTTGTCTCACCCGGTCTTGGTGAAGGTGCTCGAGAACATTGTGAAAAAGGGTCTTCTCCAGCCGCTGGAGTCGAAAGATATCCTAACGCCGGCACAGTATGGCTCCTGCATCACCAACCTGCTGTTGACGCAACAGGAAGAATTGCAAGCGTTGAATCGGGGGAAGTTAGCGGATGTCATCTACATTGATTTCAGTAAAGCTTTCGAAAAAGTGAACCACGAGGTTCTGTTTCACAAGCTGAGGATGTCTGATGTTGGTGGCGCACTGCACCACTGGATCAGTGACTTCCTTATTGGGAGATGGCCGGTTCAGGTGGATGACCACCTAACGGAATGGTACCCGTCCACTAGCGGCGTAGCACAAGGCACAGGACTGGGGCCCATTTTATTCCTGATCTACATCAACGAAATACCTCAGCTTCTTCGGTCGCTCTGCGTATTATTTGCGGATGACCTAAAGATTTGGAGGATTATTGATTTTCCCGGTGACTGTGACGTCCTTCAGCAGGACCTCGACCGCCTATCCCGGTGGTCTGCAGAAGTTGACCTACCGATCAACACGGCCAATTCCTCGTTTATGAGCCTGGGGAGGGGTAGTAATGGGCGTGCGTGCACCTTGGCCCGCCACCCGCTGCATCCAACCAGTTCCGTAAAGGATCTAGGCGACAACACGAACAGACTGTATGGAAACGGCCTACGCCTGCTTTGGACACTTCGACGCAGCTTCTGCACTCGGTTTGACGAGATTGCCAACCGTCTGTTCTTTTCCATAATAAGACCAGTGCTTGAGTAAGGCTCACCCGTCTATTGTCCGATCACAATAGGTGAGGTGCAGAGACTGGAACGGATCCAGCATGTATCTACCCGGCTCATTCAAGAAATGAGTTGGGTTTTCCGTGTGATCATGTGGCATCGCGGTTAGATCGGAGATGAAGAACCAGTCGCGAAAGATCCATTTCCGAAAGTAAGGCCAATAGGTGTAAATCGGTGGGGAAGCCGCGTCTAACTTACTCGGTTATTTCGTCTGTCGCTTTAGCAACAATGGATGAATGCAACCCGGGGATGAGGAGTTGAGCAGCAATTCAAACGAAAACTAGGGTAGCTTGGTGTCCACATGTGTTGACCAGTTGATCACGAAGAACGCTGATTGAATTCGGAAGATCGCGAGGCGCCGGCGCAAAGGTGAGCCAATGATAAACACGAACGTGATACAACTCGTCTTACAGTCTAATGTAAGTGCCTGAATTGATTAATATCGTAATTCTAATAGGCAGACGGAGTTTCATTAATCTGATGGACAACTTCAGCATACGGTGGACTCGTAATGAGTCTCATGGGAATAAACTACATGGCTGCAGCGACCATCGAGAAAGAAAATGGAGACGGAGAGCAGATTCCACACATCAGGGATCACATCTGGTCCAAAGTCAACCGTAGTGAAGCACGGGAAAGATTGAGTTGCGTTCGCCTCAACGACAAGAGCCAAGCAAAGGAATAAGGGGAAATCTGATGGAATGTTAGTATAGTACTTACACGCAGGGCGACGGATCCGCTTCAACCCGGGGATACGACTGATCCACATTCGTGTCAAGAGGTTGTAGTCAACAGCTTCCGTCTGGTGGGAAGACAACTGGTCGAGTGTCATGCAGCTCATCGGCTCTGAGTCGCCGTCAGAACGAGAACCAGGTCTGGTTGCGCCCGACTTCAGTTTGTCGATTGGAATACTTTTGCTGATGTCCTCCTGCGGCTCATCATCTTCGTCATCGTCTGTCTCATCGTTGGTGCGAAACGGATCATCTTCCTCTAGTCCGTAGAGGTTGGGACGCGGTGCCAGATGAGCGCACATACCCAACTCATTCTGATAAACAAGGTCCATACAGCGTTTGGTCTCATCTGGGCTTGGGTCTAAGGGAATTCTAGGGGCTCTTAGCACCACACAAGCACCTCGAGTAGCCAACAATCGCGCAAGGGTGACCGTGAAGGCTCCACATAAACAGGGTCCGCAAGCGAGCAAAAGGATGCGTGGTGGAGGTCTCTGAGTTGATCTGGGGGTAGAAACAGCGGGAAAACTGTGAGTGGATGCAAAAGAATACAAGACTATTACAAATATACGTAACTAAGACATGGCACGGAAACCACACTGGCAAATAACGAAGCTGAGAAAGCAGTAGGTGGATTCGAATGAGAGCTGTCACAGTCGAACAGTCAGCAGGCATTCAGAAACGCAATGGAGTGATAATTTCGATATTTCAGTCCTCAGCATTAGCGTATACTTCTATAGAATCCAGTACTCACATGCATAGCGGCTTAAGAAGCTAGGTAGTAGAGGACGGCAGCGACTCCACCTTTACTGCCATGAAAGCCCCCTGTTGTTCGACACAAGTCCGTCGATGCTGGTCATGCGAGACAACGCTTGTCACTATCGAGTCATAGTTAGTCTTCGTAACCGACAAAGCCAAGTTGTAACATAGGGAGGTCCACTTCCCACTGCAGCGCAGAGTACTGGGTCATGCCAGGGGATATATCAGGCTCCCCATTGTCCCATGGTGCTATGAGCCAGATAGGGCAACCACTGATTTTAATGAGGCAGTAAGTGGGTTTAAAATATCCCAAGACTCCTGGGGGCCGACGTAGTCCATGTGAACCCTTTGTTGAGCTGTCACGAACAGCACTTAATCTGAACTAGCTTGTGATGAGGTAAGTTGATCGATGGTCTAGTGCGATAAGTTGCCCTGAGGTTAAACCTAGTAGTTGAATGGCGATGAAGGATGAGCTGCGCCATATGACATGTAGCTATTTGAGCCAACTGGCAGCTCATTCAGTCTGCAATCCAGAAGAGGGTCAGACCGGTGTTCATTGAGCAATACCTTGGGATTGAGGTGAAAGCATGGGTCAGCTAAGAGGAGTGCTGTGGCATAGGCATAACGTTTCACACCACAGAGGGACGGGAATCACAAAAAAGGGAGGAGCAGATTCAGATGGTGCGGTCACGAAGGTGTCGTGAAGATAAGGCGGATGAGGGCCAATGTAAGACGACAATGACACTGCCGATGTAGGCAATGCGGCCACCTACTCGGGCACCATTTGTGATAACATGATGACAGGCACTAGTTAGAGTATAAGTAGAGGGACCTATTTCTAGTCGCGGCGACTGCAAGTATCAAACGTAAATATGTGCTTTGTACCGTTGTGGAGTGATGGTAGCGTGACGAAGTTTTTGCATGATGTAGTCAACAAAAGAGCGGCCGGCGGTTTCCAACATGCGACCCCAAGACAGGCCGGAAGCTGGAGAATGGCCGGAGAGATTCGCGGGATCAGTTCCTGTGGCCAAATAATGGAGCATCCGGTTGTGGTCCGCAGTTGAAAGAACTGGAATGCGAGCGCCAATGGGAGAGTACCACCATCGGTGCGTTGTGTCCACCGTCGGCTGAGTTAGGTGGGAGGTGGAAACGGTGCTGGAGCAAGTACACAACTGAGTGCAGTGGTCACCAATGGAGGAGGGCTGTAAGGAGGGGTGGTAGTAGGGAACCGAGTGTTCGTGACGTTGTCTCGAGGAAGACAAAGTTGCTGTATTGGTGGTCATGGTACAACCATCGTAGTAATCCTTGGTGGATCGCGGAACTCGCTCAGAATGGGGTACGGTGCCTAAGGTGAGGTAGAGGGGGAAAATGAGGACGAACATTACAGTGTGCACATCTAGATAGATGAAAAACGGAAAGTTTGTGTCAAATGACAATGGAGATGTGCAAGTGCCGTTCATCGTGGACCAACATCACAGAAACAACAGTAAGACAATCGAGTCGGCTCGGCAAAAAGACCTAGGGAGCAATGCTATGGGAAAGGAGGTAAGCGGGCAGCGGAGGAAGAATCAATTGCCATCTGGCACTTAAGGAAAACCAGGTGAATCATGGCACTACCGATCAAGACACAGAATAAACTGGTACACGTAACAAACTAGCAGGCACAAAAATGTGAGTTGAAATGGGACTTCAGGACTAGCCAATCACCTCAATGAGCACAGATACTGTCATTGGAGAAGTGTTTAACAGCTTAGCTTTATCTCACAGGTGTCACAGATAGAAATTGAAATGAACTGAATAGTTTCATAGTCTAGATGAGACTCCGATTCGAAGCAAAGGCTTAGTTCGGCTGAGTGACAAACAAAAAGTTGTCAGAAAGGAGTGTAACGACAATACCTTAATAACAATGTATTAAAATCCACGTACAGCAGGCCGCAACCATAGTGGATCCTAATTACAAGAGGTCCCGGATTGGCGTAGGCGTCGTCGCCGACTACGTTGCTACGGTGTAATAGCTTGCACTTCATGAAAACTGTCGTACAAGTTCGGTGGTGGCTGATACTTTTCATATGAATTGTGATTGGACCAGGTAAAAAGTGGCGCAGAAACAATAGCACAAATGGAATACACAAGTATGATATAACATTGTCTCAAATCAACACCGCACTGATAATGTGGCGAGACCGTGCAGACTGAAGCGTGCGTCGCGAAGCCCTAATCCGAATGAGGCTGAGAATCGAATCGTCTGATAGCAGACTCGGGTAACATGGCCCATGCCCAAGATGTTATGTAAATGTAATTCCGTTTCTGAAAGACAAAAGTCTTGAAGTTAATAAAATGAAAATAGATTGAAGAGCAGACAGCACTTTCAGAGTAGTTGGCCAATGTGATTTTACGAACAGAATCTATTAATTACAGTGAGCGTACGCCATAACGATGCGCCTCAGAAGGGGTTATCAGGGATAGGCGTTTGTCATAGAGATGTAAGGCAGTCAGATACAGACAATGGATATTCCAAAGACACTCACCCCATCTTCCTGGAAGTAAACAAAATCCTCCATCAGACAGTAACAACCAGCCGATACGGTAAAAAGAGACGGTGAGCTGCGGCACCAGTAGCAAAAGATGAAACGAGCGGAGCCTGTGTCCAATCGAAAACGAGAACAATGAAGGGGGACGGGCTACTTCAAAGCGTGAAACGGACAATTTTGACACTGAGGAGGGCACCTGCCTCGCATTTTTAGGACTACAGGAAACCATAGATAGGTAACTTAAAAAATCAGATTGCATGAACAGTTAACCTTAGTTAGGTAGGTATTTTGAGCACTAGAGAACAAAACTACTTGAGTTTGTCTTTGCTTCTCCATCCCGTGGCGGACCTGTACGCGATCGGGTGCGTCCCCAGGTTGTGGATTGAAGAATGCCTTCCTTGTAGAGGTAACTGCGAATAAGTACCGTTCGCTTTGCAGGCGAGATGAATAAGCAGTCGCGGACAATCAGCGGCAGCGTCTCAGAGCATGGGAAGTTCTGAGCTGGTCACCTGGTTCGCCATCAAATATCACAGGAACTCGTACGGTGCTTTGTCAAAGTCAATGGGACTGGCCATAGGGTCGCCGGCCACTCCTGTAACCAGAGATCAGTAGCCAAGGGAAGGCGGATAAACAATCTTGCTGACCACCGGACTCTGTGTGGACTGCCACTAAACACTAAGAAGACAAACGAGGCACCTGGCTGTCAACGGTCTCCTTAGTAACAGCTGATTTCATCTGCCAGCGCTATGCGATAATAGCTCCGTTGCCTTGCGGGCCAAATCTTTAAAAACAAAAACTCACAGTGGAGTCCCTCAAGTCAATCCTCTTCCTCGGCCTGGGTAACTGGGATGCTCTGCCCACACAACACACGAACCTTAATAGCCCCCTTAACTGCTGCTCTTCCTCATTTTGTTGTTACCCATGTCTTGTGGCAATCTGCCAGCTGAACTTCAGTCAACAATTGTTTATTGGTCAAGTGCTGAATATATATATATGGTTGGCGGCATCCGGTTTCGGATTTATCTGTCACTGTGGCCAGCCACAGGACGCCTGCGCTGCACCACCCACTGCTCCAACCACACACCCCATATCCAGTGTAAACCCGAAGGAATAAGATCGGGAGGCATGTGGATGGGAGCCACGTTACAACGGAGCCAGCCCACACTCCTTCACAGGCAAACACAAGTACGCCGTAGTTGGGGAATCAAGCGCACACAAGGCGGTAGCTGGACCGTAGTCCGCTCCACACTGAGTGCATGGAACCGCTTTTTGAGCCTAGCACGGCCACAAGGACTGTGCACCCCGTCCCCTCCAGCAACGACCAACTGTCTCATAGAGCCAGTATGAACGAGGTAGTGGGTAATAGACAGGTAGGCACCTTGTCAACATACACATCAAGTGCAGTCACACCGGGGATATCAAGCAACAACCATTTAGTTGAAACGACAAGCTAAAATAAAATAAATCCAATAATGCATACAAATACGGTGGCATATATATATATATATATATATATATATATATATATATATATATATATATATATATATATATATATATATATATATATATATATATATATATATATATATATATATATATATAGCACCTGAAAAAGGAACCCCACTTGGTCCGGAGTGCTTGTTAGCTGCAGATCGGTTGAGAATTACTGCATCCCTCTCATATTGAGAAGAAAGGCTGTAGGGATTAAGGTGCGTCAAGGCCTGGGGAACTATCGCTAAAAACTCTCGTACTTAATGCAATATGCCGCTTTTTGTTAGTTTGAGTACCCAGCTTGAGAGCTATATGGATTGCCAATCAAGTCAATCCACAGTGTACTCAAAATAATCAATAAAACTTTTAGGATAACCAATTGTCGTATGAGGTTGGGCACTCTCATGAGCAATAAGCGTGCCTCCTCTGCCATAAGGAGAGTGAGACACCCAACTCGGCCAACCAAGACTATCTTTAAGGCAATACGGAAAAAAATCTGGTTAGCAAAACACAGTGGCTTTCCGGGTCGCTCCTAAATGATCTGTGTCACGACGACGAACCGGTAGGTTCCAGGTAGATTACGCCAGACACTTATGGAGAGCTGACTCCCATGAAGTAACCAGCATAGTTGCATTCTATTCGATACCATTAGAATAGAGGTCGCAAGACCTCATACATAAACTTTGAACAGCGTCTCGAGCCGCTGCTATTCGACTAGGATACACGGTTAGTGCGGTGAACATGGTAAAAAATTAGATGCAAGAATCCGTCCATCAAACGACCAGTTATGAAGCAGATCAAACCAAGGAGAGAGGGAAAATAAATAAATAATAATAATAATGTGTCAGCTGTACGCTGTAATGGCGCTTCGCTGCCGCGCGACCACCACCAGTTGCGCGCGGGCAGAGTATACCGTGAGGACGCCCACCCCTACGAGGATTCGAACCGGTGACCTTATGATTGCAAACCAAACGTGCAGACCACTCGGCCACCGGCCGACAAGAGAGAGAGACGGAGTGGTCTAAAAAATTGGGAATCATGAGTAAAGCTGTCGCTTGATCTTGGGAGGCAGCTGATAGCCGGCCAAAATCGCCCCGTTGTTGCGTATTACATTAACCGCTGGAGATTATGGTTGGGTGGTGAAACGGGTCAGAGTGGTACGTGGATTGTCCGAAGCGCAAACACGGCCAAATTGTCCATGTAAACCGAACACCAATTCAACATCCGCGTCTCATTCACTTGTTTGAATGAGTGAACAACAGCAGTATCGGTAAGGCAAGACGGAAGCGTTGGTCATTGAGTAAGAAGGGTGATTTGCTGTGAAATAGTGAGACCTTAGCCCGTAACATGTGCCAACGGATGAAAGGTCTCTGAAGACAGGACAGAAATCACAAGAGTGGATACCGAGCACGGAATGGCCCTGATATCTGTAGTGGAGGACGTATGATCTATTGTGACAGTGTAGACATGCAGTAATAAAATAGTTGCGCTAACTCACCGATGAGTGGTCGTCCAACACCATCAGGACCTTCATCCAGAGGTGTGGAAGATGAGGTTGCAGTGCGAGATGGGCCGGGGTGCTTAGAAGAAATCCCTTTGCGCATATCCACCATCTCGTAGAACGCCGGCTTGTCAACCACGGCCAAGTTCTTTTCAAAGTCGAAATCCTGATCCATAAACTCTTCCACTCTCACTTGATCCCAATCAGCTCGTGCTTGTTTGCCTGATCCACCGCCGCAACTAACTCCGCGGTTATTCAACCGTCCGGTTCGAGAGTGCGATTTAGCGTTGTGATGTTGACCACCATTTTGGTAATGTCCACGGGAAGTGAGGTCGTGAGTGGGATGCGACAAATCACACTCGGTGCCAGAAATGTCACTTGAAGCGGCGTGAGTCTCGGACACTGATTGGGAAGAATGCGGCACAGCCATAAAGAGTGGAATTGAAATACAGCGAAACAAGTACTAAAGTAATGAAATAAAGCAGAAAACCGAGTCGCGTGATGGGCGGTGGAGGTAATCCGATTAGTATGAGATAGAGTGGGACAGGCAAAAGCAACCGCGATTGCAACTATACAGTCTCGTCCACAGACTATATAAACATGTGGTATAGAATAACCAAGGATAAGAAACCGGTATGTAGAAATGGTGCTTTGCTATCACAAAATGATTACCATGCACATAGTGGGATTGAAAGTGGAGAGGTTTAGTGTAAAACCTGAATAGACCAAACGAACTCCCGGTGGTCGAGTGGTCCGCACACCTGCTTTGCAACCATAAAGTCACCGGTTTGAACCCGCGTAGGGGTGGGCGTCCTCGCGGTATACTCAGCCCGCGCGCAACTAGTGGTGGTCGCGCGGCAGCGAAGCGCCTTACGGCGCACAGCTGACACATTATTATTAGTTTTTACTTACTCCCGAAATCGATTTACCCACATCATGGAAGGTCAAATGTATTTAGCTATTCTGGGACAATAAGGCGGCATTAGAGAGAAAACCTGGTGATTTGAAGCACCCAGTTATAAACAACCTGCCCCACAGATAGCTGGTGACTGATAGTTTCGGAGACAGTGTAGTCATTATGTTGGGCATGCATTGTTCTATGCAAACGCAGCCAGCTGGTGAATTTGTTTTGGGATAAATACGTCAAACACCCCGTACGGGATCTCGAAATGTGTAGCCTGATTAGCAATATTTGTTGATTACCGACTACTGAGCACTGTTGCAAGTGATAACAAGTAGCGTTCACCAAGGTTGTCCCAATTCCACTTCATTACTCAGTATCGTAGGTATGCTCATTTAGTCTTCCCATACGGACTCATGATGCATACGCTAAATTGTCAATAGAGAAAGTTGGTTGATCCAGATCGCTTGGACCACATAGACATATCGCCTGGGAAGCTTGATGCGGCACAATTGACTCGCAATAAACTCACACGAGTAACCGATTTTCTGGCTTCCGATTTGCACCGTCAAAGTACGATCTAACGCTGCGAAAGAACAAACTACATGTTTACTCTTCGAACATGGACATGGAGACGATTAATCCGTTCACCTATCTTGGAAGCCGCATTAACAGTAATGGGTGCACTGTTGTTATAGTTTCGAGGACCGGAAGTGCATTTAGAATCTGCGACCGCTTTTTGATGCAAAAAGAGCATCTCTCACAGTCTCCGACTATGCATTAAGGACCAAGTGGAAACTGCTCTTCTATTCCGAATTGGTTGGGCGTCGTTGATTCTGAGACCGCCGAGGCTATTGCTGCTATGACAATCAATATGTTTCAGGCATCCATCGTAATCGATGGTCCACGAGGCGGTGTACCGGTGAGTATTAGATGATGGTGATTAGGCGAGTTTGTTACATCAGCAGACAAGACTGAATAAATTGCATTGTCTTGGGTACGTGCATTCTGACCGCTCATCGCTTGTAGAGAACGTTACTTGACCTCGCTGTAATGACATGGCGTAGGACTGCAAGGTGGACTCAACGAGTGATTTGGCACCAACTGAATTGCTAGTCGCTTTGGTCAAGCTGACGGGGTTGCGCGGTCTATTCTGTGCTGCTCAATAAATTACGGCAGCTGGCACGCGGAGTATTCCTGTTCCCGTTTCTGACTTGACCGTCTGTTTGAAGTATGCATAGTATTGAGCTACGAGTGGGTTAAGGTTGACTAGGACGCGATGGAGTGAGAACTAAAAAGAAAAGATCTCATCAGCATGAGCTTTTATTGATATAGTAGCCAACTATTTGCAGTCGTAAACCGTGTTTGCGAAGTGTGGTTTTTATACTGAAAGTTACGAAGCGTTTTTGACCACATTCTCTCTATCGAATGTTTCGCATCAGCGGAAGTTTCCGCTTTTGCGTTATGTCACAGTGAAGAATCAATCTAAAATGCTGATGTATGCCTATTGCGACTGCTACTGACGATGAAACAGTCTTCGACTTCGCCGATGAGAGCGAATTCGACAACGCGAGCGACTCACATTATCGGCACAGCATCAACAGAACTTGCCTATCCAAACATGGTGCAGGGTGAGAACAAATCCTCTCGTTGAAGCATATGGTATAAGGTGTGAACGGCAACTTTTCTAGATCCCCGAGCAAACCCTTAAGCGAACAGTTCGCTCATGTATTTAGTTAACTGCGTCACCTATAGAAACTGAGTAACGAAGGCGGTTATGGAACATATTGATGGAGTCTGTGAGGCATCTCAAAGCATCAATCACTGACATCCCAAAGGTTCCGAGTTCAAGTCGAAGCTCTGTACCTCTGTCCGATGAGTGTAAAAGTGGTCGAAACCGGTCGTGGAGTGCCGTGCTGTGAGCAGGTAACACCTTAGCGTTTGTCTGCTTTCAATGCGATCTTAGTGGCCGATCTGATTGAAATTCCCTTCAACGTGAATCATAGTCCGGACTGAGATGGTGTGTCGAAATCCATGCACACAACAAGTACTTCAAAATGAACTCTCCAATTAAATGAAGTTTGATCATCGGCCAAAAATAAGGTGAACGTCACTACAGTTCCATCCAGTGCTACTGCATAAAGTTACCTGTGCGCATCACGGCACTCCACGACCGGTTTCGAAGACTTTTGCACTCATTGGACAGAGGTAGTTGAACTTCGATTTGAACTCAGAACCTTTGGGATGTCAGTGAGTGATGCTTTGAGATGCCACACAGACTCTATCGGTATGCGCAAAAGACTGACCGCCCAGGAACGCATGTATTGCTTCTCGTGAATGGTAGAAAGTGAGAAACACTTACGTGCACCAGTTGGCATTCGGAGTAATATCTGATACAGGGCCGGATTACATCGTGAAATAGTATAAATTACATCGCATACGCTCACTGTGTAACAAAATGGAAACCGCGAGAGTCGGCACATTTGGTCCCTATTTGCTTACGAATAGGTACAAACTAAACAATCGGTAGACGCATGGAAGACGTTCATTTCACTGAATTGGCTACGGTAACGGATTGTTTAGTTGCTTATGAGCGAGACTTGCCTCTTGTATGGTACTCCGTCACCATTGCATCCTCACTGTTGTGTCCCGTGTGGTGGCTGAATTCCGTACCTTCGTGGACTGCCTGCGGTGTAGAACAGGTTCGATACTGTATTCACTTGTGCACTGAGGTGTGACACCCGACTCTTTTCAAGGTTTGTCCGTCCGTTCGGTCCCATCATGTCGGATCCATCACACCCAGTAATCAACATGGGCGAGTATCATGCACTCATTCAACGCTTGGTTGGATGAAGTCACAGTGCAAACAGTTGATGGTATGGTGAAAACAAAATAGGAAACTGACTAAAAGTTTTGATCGGACTGGTGCATGTTGTCTTCTTTGGACAAATTCGACAGGATAGACCATATCAACGATGAGAGTCTGTCACCGATATAGCGCAGTAACAAAGTAACTGGTACATTTGCACCTGATCCACTTCTCTCCAAGAATGAGCACAAGGAGAGTACCGCTCGTCCATGAGAAAGCAGTATCAGCAACATCGCCTTCTCTGTTTCCCTAAGGAATTCCTTTCTCGTGTAGACCGGCAACAGACCAGTACCGATTACATAAGCCTAAAGGTAACGTGCTTGTCTCCTAATCTGACGGCGCGGGCTCGAGCCTGCGTAGAAACAGGGCGACCCTCGCAGTATCATTAGCCCACGTGCGACTGGTGGTGGTTGCGCAGCGGCGAAGCGTCGGTACTGCGTACCGGCATACTGATGATGCCTTTCTTACTCACAAGATAGTCGGATCTCCAAGTCCACCTTTGAATAGTCGGATCAAATTTTAAACGTAGGGTACCACTCAACATGTGTCCGCTGTGTCAGATCGGCCGACAGGCGACACTCGCTATGAGATTCCATTTTATTGGAATAAATGTGCTACTAATTCGAAATAACAGCGTCTTACTTAAGGTGCGCTTACCAGACTAAGGCACATAATACGTATCTGCAATACTATCGAGTCCACTGTTCCCGATATTTACGGAGTCCGAAGTGCTTGCGGTACACGTCCAGAGAGTTCTTCTAAATTGCATACCAGGGAATAAATTCACTTGATTTCAAAACTCCAGCAAAGTTAACAAGTAGCGACCTAGTGTCATTTGCCGTTTCAGCATACTCTACAAATGGCCGCAATCCCGAGCCTGTCAACAAGGAATTCTATCAGCAGCTCTCCTCTCTTATACGAATTGCCGAGAGCACAGACATCGTGATTGCTTTGGATGACATGAATGCTCAAGTCGATCGTCTATCAGTCAGAACGTGGCCTCAAAAGCTGTATCGAAATTGTACTGACAACGACGACCGCCTTCTTCAGCCGTGCGCTGAGCATAAGCTTTATGTAGGCATTACAGCTTTCCAGCACAAACGCTTATATCGAGTACAGATTTACAATACCAGTGCAAGATTGTCGGTCGATTCGAGGCACTTGTTTGGATTCCGATTGCACGCTTGCGTGTTTCCACACAACACTTACTCTTACTGGCTCGGCTACTTGTTCATCTGCGGTGCTTGCGCGTAACTGTATTCACAATACGCAAAGTGGCAATAGCAGTCTGATTTGCAATGTCAGCTATCACTGTCAGACGAGATAAGTGAACTGAAAGCTGACTGGAGCCGCTCCCAATGTGTAAGGCAAAAAATACTCAAGGTAGGTTGTCTGTGTAATTTGAGACGTTCAAGCAGAATATGGATTAGGTTGATTAAAACGCGAAAGACGGTTCCAGCGGGTGGTCAGTTCCTTAAGGTACTCGTCAGTCTGAGTCGTCGCCTTACTAGAGAGCGTGAAAGTTGACCCGAAGCGAGGGTTTAGGGAGAATGGTAGCAAGATGAGGTAAGGTAGTAACACGACAGTTTTGTTCCAACTCATTCATCACACCTAGCCAAGAAAGAATCCAATGAGTGAAAGAATAAGTGAGAAATACGGGCAATCAATTCACGCTCAGTCATATGGACTAGAACGATGGGCTGAACACTTTAAAGAGCAACTCAGCCAGTTTGGTGCATCAGAATCGCTGGCTAGCTCACCTGAACCCGCTCGCGAAGTTGAGTTAACAAGCCTCCCCGTCGCTGAGGTCCAACATGAGTTGGTACTGCCGAAGGGAAATAAGTTGCTTGGACCAGGCGACCCTCCACTGTCTCTCCTGAAAGATGGTGGGGATTCACTAGTAACCGCTTTGGCTTATCTTGTCCACACTAGCTAGCACAAGGAAGAAGAGCGCTATGATTGGAGATTATCATTTGTTGGTCCAATCGTCAAAAATAATCATAGGACTTATTGTGCAAATCATCGTTGTACCAATCCGGTTTCCATAGTCTCTAAATCACGGGCATGTAGTATGTTGAAACATTTGACTGATATTCATGAGAAAAGAATCAGCGGAATTCAGGTCGGCTCACTTCCTGGTAGATCGTAGGTTCACTCTTCGATAGATGCTCGAAAGACACCACAGCCAGAAACAACCCCTCATGGTTAAGTTCAAGTGAAAGTCTGATTTCCGCCTCAAACTGGATTGTCTATTCGAAGGTATAGTACCTACATCCACAACCCATTCAGTCATTCCCACGTAGAATTTCATACTTGTGTGTTGTAAACGTCTGTATTTTTAAGGCATTTAGCGATTTTACTTTGCTCAATAAACCTGTTCTTGATGCTTCGAGGTCAAAGCGTTTCGCCTTCGATAGACCGTTGATAAGCGAACTGCTATGCTGCAAGGTTATTGCACGCTGCTCTACGCCTTACTGAGTCTGCTCTTTTTCATCACAAAGGTACGCGTGAGTTACTTATTAAGAACCCCGGTTAGAATAAAATAGGTTTTAGCTATTCTGCCAAGGCCGTGCGTAAAGTTGAGAATTACCAGCTTAGATGTGCGTCTAGCGTGAGTAATTTTGTCTAGGCTTCCTATCGTGGTTACAGTGGCCTTCCTTGACTTGAAAGCTTCCGTTGGTCAACTTGATCGTGCCCACTCATAGTGACAACTCGTCTTGAAGAGTGTATAAAAAGTTACACTCAACTCTAACATCTTTGCGTCACGACTCCTAAGGCCGCGTGTGAGGACATGGGGAGCCCACTCCTGAGCTTACCATTATAAGTAGAGTAAACAAGAACGACTCTGTCGATTGCTTCCTCTTCAACTATGTGATCGACATGATAATGAATGACTCCAACTTGCTTCCTTCCACCACTTCTTGGGTATATATTCTACTAGGTGACTGGCTGTCATACGCAAAGCACACGGATGACATCCTTATTTTTGAATCAGATCCAGGTGCTATGCAAGCGCTGTGCATTATGGTAAGTGCCTTGCATCCTCAAAGTGCAAAGTACTACCGCATGACTGGGTCGACACCCCACCAGTATTCATAGACATGGGAGAACCGCCGAAAATGTTCAACTGGTTTAATCAGTTGGGTAGCGGTGTAACCACTAGCAGTTGCATCACCGAGATTGCCGCACGCATTGCTAAAGCTCGCATGGCTTTTTAAAGGCAAAGACTGCGAAATATCAGTTTAATGGGCAAGGCAGTGGTTCGCAAAGCTGTGTTATTCTGTTGGTCGGAGACCAGGCCGATACGAGAAGACAAAATTAGAAGACTGACCATTTTGACCAACGATACCTGCGCGGATGTTGATCATGTAGGGTGGGAGAACAGAAAGAGTAGTGATGATAGGCTCTCTACTGCCGCACTGGAGAGTGCCTGTTAAATTCAACTCGTCTTCGGTGGGTCGTAGATGTGCTCTCCCGTATGTCAGCGAACCAGCCGGTGGCCGAAAAAACAAGCCATCTACTTTGCGACCCGGACGTCACCGGTCTGAGTGGAGGACCGTGCGACCCTGGCAGTATCCATAACGCCCGCGCGACTGATGGTTGCGCGGCAACAAGGCGTCGGTATGGCGTGCCGGCGTATTGTTGATGTCATTTTTCAGTGAGCCAGCTGCCACGCGATGTGTATTATTTTACAATACGTAGCCGGGTTGATTAAAACTCAAAGGTGACCAATCAATGACATGGCTAATTAGTATGAAGCAACTCACCGAAAGACTGAATTGAGTCTGTGCTTGTCGTCTTCTCATATGGGGACCTAGGAATCGGCCTCATAAGTGGCTAGATACTCTACAGGACAATATTGCACAATCGTAAAATCGGTGGCGCTGTTGCATTCGTCTACTTATTTTTGGCTCACAACCGCTCCGTGTGATTACATAGCTGGCTCATTTCTGTTGCATTGTTATCATATCATTATTTCGGTGAAGTGTCAAGACACGCGGGTCCAGTGCACGTCGGCGCACGGTATATTGTTGAGAAAGTGAGCAAACTTGAAATCATTGTTTCCAGCAGCAAAGCTTTCGAGTACTGATAACATCTATGGTTGCATTGCCATTCTTCGGTCTTTGTTTGTACGGTTGAGTTGCCTCCAGTGGCTGCTAATTTTATTAACCTTGTGAATACGTGGGTCAGAGCAAGCGGAACAATCGGATTCCAGTACAATAACACCAGCTGAACCAGTTACATCACTGGTGTCGATCCCAGAGCTAGGAGCAGTTGTTGACCAGTAACCAGAAAAAAACTAGCTCCAACAGTAATAGAAAGAAGAGGGAAAGCGGACGGTGTGGCTTCTTAAAAGATGGAACTCTGATTGCCAAGCCGAAGAAGAGGTTTTGTTCGAAAGACAACCATCAATGACCAGTAACTCAATAGTTTAATCTACGAGATTAGTGGTGTGCTTGCAAAAGCCGAAAACATTTGGTATCTGGTCTGCAACATACTTACTAGAATAACTGCGGCGCTTGGAAAGAGCACCACTTCCGCCATATCTGCTAGTTTTGCGGTCGTTTAAAGTGATATCAGCTAAAGCCGAATCGAGCTGCTGAAGGCCGGAGGCTATCTTCTGTCTGGGACTGCCGCTATTGAATACTGCGTGGCCAGGAGCTCCGGCAGAACGGTGAATGAGCGGAGGAGAATCCGGGCACACGTAGGCACTGCATGCATTAGGGATGTTGCGAAGCATTTCTCTGCGGTGTGCACGACCGGTAGAAACTTGCGTCTTTTCTTGAGACTTGTTGGGGGTGACATCAACGGATGGATTCCAAGTAGCTGTGGCTAGAATGCGTAAGTCCTCAATGAATTGGCTTCTGGGAGAAAATGACCGCGAGCATAGTGAGGAAACAACATTGCGACACAGCTAGGAGTAATCACATTTCATTATTTCATTGTGAACCAGTCATGCAAAAAATCCCACGGTAACAGGATACTAATCAAGGGATACACTGAAGTTTCATTTAAACGTGATACAATTAGGTTAGAAACATAACGATTATCGGTCCAATGAAAGTTGTGAACACCAGAGTTCGTTTAGATCAGAAGCTCGCACGCTTTCAGACCACTACATACTATTACTACAGCAACTGTCTACATACTAGACATAGCGCCATCAAAAAGCATGCAGTGAATGTGCTTAATAAGTACAAAATCACAAAGGGATAGAAGTTAAAAAAATATTTTTGTTTCTCACGCGCTGTTATCTTTTGTGTCATTTTAATGAGGACGGTGTTGATCAGTAAAATCATAGCATAAATAGGTACAAATTTTCCGTTCAACCAGATTACTCGTCATATTTTCAACGGTTTCCAGTTAGCGGTGTTTTTCATCCTTGGCCCCCAATCCAGGAAGTATGGGACCGACAACAGTTGAACTGAAAGTCGGCGCTCTGACATTTTGTCGCCATGCGCAATTTATTCCGATGCGGCTCTGCGTGAGCGGATAAAGCGCGCCATGACAGTCGCTCGCACGGCTTGCGTACGAGGGGACATAGTCATCTCAGCGCAGTGGTACAAGTCTGTTGAGAAGGCTCACATAACATCGTTGTAAGCGTGTTGTTCCCAAACACCGGAGCTATCCTCCAGCCACCGTCAAAGGCCGAAAGCAGAGCATATCATGTACAAGAATCGTCCAGGACTCACTTTCATACAACACCAACACGCGGACATTGAAAGTGTAGACCTTTGCTTTATCGAGAGTGAAACGTTACGACCGTCGCAACGAGACTGGACCGTAAAGTGATGCGATGGTTTGCGTACCTCTTCGACCCATTGAGCTATAGTGGGTGGTGCCATCGCGCCCCTTGAGAGATAATCCTAAGATGTTGATCAATCGTTAGAGATCGGACAAACGCAGTCCCCTGGTCCTCCAGGTTGTGGGTATGAACTGGGATGGCGCCCAATTTGTAGAACCGAATCATTGCCACCTCCTGCCTTGCGGGTAGGCTTCTTAGTTAAACGCTTCGGTTGAAGATCATATTAGTTCTGCTGTCTAGGTCCGGGCGTTCTGACATTGGCTCAGCTCAGATACAACCATGACTATTTTGTTGAACTTCAACCGCATCCTGCATCGACCGTCGCGCAGATTATCAAGCGTCGCGTTATCTGCTGCATACAGCAGGGCGGATATGCGAAAACATGCTACTGCTGGCAACTCTGCTTTTTCCACTTGTTTCTCCTACTCCCAACGCCCATTAGTAATCTACCTTAATCATGAGCAGCGGCAATGCTAATACAGTTCTACCATCTGAAGTTAATTTCCCGTACCATCCACTGGACGCTAATCGCCAACAACCCCTTATAAGGTCATGCCGTTCTGTTTCCCTGGCGACCACCAAAGTTCGCACCCTAAGACAAATGGGTCAACAGACTGTACTTGCATGCACGCTGGGCATTCTGGATACTGACGTAGGTTGCGCGTCCGAAACTAGGATTAGTGACCTTCATGGGGTTATTGAACCAACTCCATCGCAATGAGGCTGAACCTTACCGTGGTGCGATGGTTTGTGTGCATCAGTGAGCCATTGAGCTATGCTGGGTGGTGTTATTTTACACCTTCAGGGCAATTCACACAAGCTTGGTCAATGGTTAGAGGCCAGACAAACTCAGCCTCCTGGTCCTCCCGCTTGGGGGTTAGGATGAGGGTAGCTCCTAATTCCTTAAAAAGGAATCCTTGTAGCCCAACAGTAAACCCGCTGCTTCGCGGTCAGGTTTTTGGACCAAAGGCTTTGGTTGAGAACTTTAATCGTTCTCCTGTCTAGGCCTGGGCAACCTGACAGTATCCTGCCCACCCAAGCCTATGAATCTTTCCTCAAACAATTTCCTGATGCCCTGGCCACCGCAGAGGATAATTAACGGTGCCCTATCTGTAGCATCGAGCAGGGTGGATAGGGGTTTGGATGCTACTGTTCAAGCCTTCCCGTCTTCTTATTCCCCCTTTTACGCTTTTGCACTCTTATCGTCCCGTTCCAACTTCATTTTTATCCCCCCTGTTTTCAACTCCCCAATTCTGGGCTCTCCCCCATCTTGCTTCAATAGTCGCTTGTCTTCTTGTTTCAACTCACATGTGAACGGGGAGCGTCATTCCTGCCCTTTCAACAGGCCCATGTCCAACCAAGCGATCAAGCTCAGTCCATCGGCCTCCATTTGGAGCCCTCGATCCTTCTTAAGATTGGCATGTCGCAATGTAGGCACATTGCTTTAGCTCGGTCAACAGGCAGCACTTTCCCGAACATTAGAGGCCCTCTCCATCGATATCTGCTGCTTATCGGAGACACGCCTGCAAGACTCGAGCTCTATACTCACTCTGCGATCCCCTTCAGGTGACACTAGCAGCACTTTCTCATTGCGCCTATCCGGTGACGATGTAGCTTCGAGCACCGGCCAAACCGGTGTTGGCATTGCCCTGAGTCCCCGGACTGAAGCTACTCTGGTTGATTGGATCCCAATCAATAGCCGAATGTGTGCGGTCCGATTGGCTGGCTCGTTCAAAGCTACGAAGCCGCGCGGGACCAACAGGTGTCTATTCGTTATCGCTGCCCATGCACCCACAAACTCTAGCGATGATTCAGTAAAAAACGACTTCTATTGTCAACTGAACCAGCTCCTTCGTCACAGAAAAAGCTCGGATACTGTGATGCTGACTGGGGATCTGAGCGCTCAAATTGGAAAATTATCCACTGATGAACTGCATCTGGGCGGCCAACATGGTCATCATCATCACCACCACCACCACCACCACCATCATCATCATCATCATCAACAGCAGTACGTCAGCCATTTGAACTGATGCTTCGCTGCCATACAACCATGAGACCTATGAAATAAAGAAGAAGAAGAGGGAGAGAAGGGGGACTTAGCTGAAAACCTTAATGCCCTAAGCAAACATTCCGAGTCAAGGCGCCTACATCTTGTGTAGAAAACATACCGTCACAAACAGCTGGCTATCGTGCAAAGATAAGGCGGCATCAGCGAGACAACTTCCTTGCGGTTTTCACTGCCCCGCGTCACAATCAGCCATTACCCCGCAGACAACTCAGCACCACACACACATTAAACAGGCAATCCAATTAGGAGACGGCAGCAGACGCGCCACTGGTGTCGGTTGCGAGCCATATCCTGTAAAGTCTCGAGCCAAGAAGGCTCCAGTAATGATAACGGTGAGCGGTTACTTTATTTGTATGAGGATGCTCACGTATTTCTTGCGAGCACTAATTTCCGACACAGTACTCGCAGGAGAGTGACTTGGCGCCCACCAGCCTCGAACCAGCTATGGACGCAAATCGATCATATTGCGGTAAGTCATCGTTGGCGAGGCTGCGTCCAGAAATGTCGCTAGATTTGGAGCACATGTGTAGACACCGACCATTGCACTTGAAGTCCGTGGACAACATGAACAGGCTATATCGTAACGGACTGCGCATGCTTTGGGCGCTCAAACGTAGTTTCGGCACATGGTCTGAAGAGGTTGCCAATGGCCTCTTCTCTTCTATCATTAGACCAATGCTAGAGTACGGTTCGCTCGCCTACTTTCCGAGTACCCGAGCCGAGGCACAAAAGATCGAACGGGTCCAACACGTTACTACCAGGCTGATCCCGAGTTTACGTGGCTTTGGGTATGAAGACCGGTGCGAGAAACTAGGACTCTACACCTTGTCCTACCGTCGGGCGCGAGTCGACCTCATTATGACCTGCCGTATTCTACATCTCGGTGACTTCCCAATGCTAAGGCCAATGCTGCAATTACGAGGGCCATGCAGCACACGCGGACACTGATACAAACTTGTCGTGCCGGATGTGAAATGTGTTCCCCACCCAATGTGCTTCGAACGGAGAGTGGTAAACATTTGGAACAGTTTACCTGAACATGTGTTTGAGGCAACATCTGTGTAACAGTTCAAAACGTTGATAGATTTGTATTTTACCACTATTCGATTCAGAGAACGACTGTACACTTAGGATGACATTTCACATTTGTGAATCCTGAAATATCGTAAGTCGGATATTTTAAATATTACATGAGAACGACAACGATATTCAAGGTTGACAACTCTTATAACGTTTTTCACCATATTTCGAAAGAGTTGTACGGAGTCCATTTCTACTTGCTCTATAATACAGTATTCAGTAATCTCAGCAGTCTAGCAACTAGACACAGAGCCAAGATAAAACGATGGAGATCAGTGGATAAGCGAAAGTCATCGCGTCATAATCATCGTGGCATGCTAGTTGAAAGTGAGCAACACACTTCAGCTAATATGTCGCAGGAAGAATGGAACATTTTGAATAAAAGTAGAACAAAACATTTTTTAGTTTGTTTTTCACACGCAGCTTTTGCTCTTTTTTGTCATTTTCAATGTTTGTAGTATTAAACATGGGAATCAATACAATATTGTACACAATTCTTCCACTGATTTCGGTTGCGGACCATGTCTTCAAGAGCGCTAAGCCATTGGCACTCCTCATCTTTGGGTCCCCATCCTGGAAGACGTACGGATCTAACAGAGGCTAGACACGAAGTCAGCGATTTCATGTGCTGCCGCCAAGTGGAAGGCTGACCAGCAAGGTCCTTGACAAGCGAATAGAGCGCGGCGCGGTAGACGCTCAGGTGCCATGCGTAGAACGTGACCAAGCCATCTTAACTGGTGCAACAAAACCAGTTTGTTGAAGGGAACACTCGCATTCCCCAAGATGCGACGTCGAACGTCATTACTATTAACTCGATGCTGCCACCAAACATGAGCGATCCTCCTTAAGCAAGCGTTATCGAACGCATGTCTTCCACGCTAATCGGCCAGGATTCGCTCCTATACAAC